AAATATGTTATGCAGAAAAATATACTGAACAACTTTTGCCTTGTGGTCATATCCAGAAACGTTACTGAATTTAAAATGCAAAATCACATACGTTTCATGTTTTGTTTTTGGAAAAAAAAAAAAAATAGCTTTGCCTCAGGAAAATTAGTTTTTGAATTTTTAAAATTTGAAGACGTAGTCACAAAATAAAATAAAAAATTGCAAAATTTAGATCTCGAAAAGATCTACAACCCCATATTTTTTGTTTTGTTTTTTGATAAATGTTTAAGGTCGCAAAAAATTCCTGAAAGTCGCAGCCGCACCCAACCGCGGCCGGAGCCGCGGCGGACGTGATCACGTCCGCCCTCCGAGCTTGACCTTGCGGACGCGTTTCATAGCCAAGGGCCAGTCCGTTATTTCTCGGACTGCAGTTGTGGCCCTTCCATGCCCTTGGGAGCTACCGTTTGCCCCTCTCTCTTCCAAACGGTAGGCCCCCTATGCACCGGTTTCCTCCCGGAAGCCCATTTTTCTCATGTTGGCCCTCTTGGCCCCATTTCCTTGGAGGAGGCTAATCCGAGATTTTTCGGATTGCTCCCATGCCTCCTGCCACTTGTTTTCTTTCCTTTTTATTTTTCTTTTGGCCCTCCCGCTTGCTTCCACTAGTGCTTGCACTAGTGGAGCTTAGATTTTTGGCCGTCAAGATCTTCGATCTTGATTGTGCAACTTGCTTTGATTTCTTGCACCACATGCCGTGCCACAATTTTCCCTTGGGACGTCACAAGTCCCCGCCACTTGTCCCGCACTAGTCCCCGGCACTAGTCCCCGGCACTAGTCCCCGGCACTAGTCCCCGACACTAGTCCCACTAGTGGTCCCACCGGTACTTGTCCCGCCGGTGGTCCTGCCGGTACTCGTCCCGATACCGCATTTTTTACTTAGTCCCATGTGGTCCTCGACACTTTGTCCTGCTGGTGGTCCCCGAAACTTCGTCCCGCCGATGGTCCCCGGCACCTTGTCCCGCCGGTGGTCCACGACACCTTTGCCATTTTTCCGCCTTGTGGCGGCCTCCTCCCCTTGTCCTTCTCGTGTCCCGCGCACCGCTCTTCTTGTTGTGGCTCCTCACCCGCTCATGGCCCTTTCGCCCACTCGGTGTCGCATCCCGGCAGCCCTCTTGGCCCGACTAATCTTCTCAATTTTCCTGATTTCTTTTCTCCCTGTGGTACACATCCTACGACACTACTTTTTCCGACGGACCTTCTCCTTTTCAGGGGAAGGGTCGCCTTTGCTATTTTCTTGCAATCCTTTCCCGCTTCCCGTTCTGTTAGTTTCTTCTTGGTTCACTGGTCCCAACGACTCTGGGTAGCCTCTAGATCCCCCAATGCCTGTGCCTATGCCTTCGATTCTTCCGTCCTTCTTGCCTCCGGTTTTCTCTGTCGTGCACAAATTGACCATATACAGTCTCTCGAGTGACGGGATGTTATTCGGGACTCACCAGTCCCGACACCATACCGTGTCTTAAACGCGGTCTTGTAGCGATCTTGCGGCTGAATCGAGATCTGATGATATCCTGACTTCAAATCTAGCTTAGAAAAGAATTTTGCGCCGCCCAAGCGCTCCAGAAGGTCGTCAATACGAGGAAGAGGTCCCGCGTTCTTGACGGTTTGCGCATTGAGCTTGCGGTAATCGATGCATAAGCGAAGATCCTTGTTCTTCTTCCGAACGAAGAGAACCGGTGCACCATAGGGTGAGCTACTAGGCCGGATCCAGCCTTTGTCCAACAAGTCGTCGAGCTGCACGCGGAATACTGTAAGTTCCTCCTCGCTCATGCGGTAAATGCAACCTTTTGGCAGCACGACACCGACCTCGAGAATGATCTCGTGAGAGATTGGCCAAGCCGACACCACGCTGGTAGGTGACTCGAAAGCGTCGGCGAATTCGTCGAGCAACCGCACCACCCGGGGGTCTGAAGACAAGTCCGTAGGTGGAGAGTCGGCTACCGGGATGGTTCGAAGAAAACATAGCCGATCTCTTCGGTCCGCTCGTAAGCACAAGTGGCCCAAAACAACTTGGCTGTTACAACTTGGCACCGGTGCGGGGGAGAAATCGTACATAGTACTTCGGCGCCGAACGCGTCGCGAACCGTAAGTGTCCGCCGATGGAAGTTGACCGTGGGATCCGCACTTGCAAGCCAAGGCATGCCCAAAATGATGTCGAAATCCGTGTCCAAGACGTCGAACGTCACCGGTTCGCATGCATGAGGTGCGAAATAAACCGGGACGACTTCAATGTAGCGATCCAGGAGTCGTTGCGTTCGACCGTCCGCCAACTTGATCGTCGTAGGGTGTGCCTTCCTTCGAACTTGTGGTCTAAGGACGGCCCTTTGCATGAAGGACTGGCTAATAAAGTTGCGAGTCGCGCCGCTATCCAGCAAAGCGCTGCAGGACGCTTGCCCGATTTGGATGCGGACATAAAGGAGCGGTGCGTTGTTGTCGTCGTACCGCTGCGTGCGAAACTCGCGGGCCACCTTGCTCACATACGCAAGAATGTCCCCCACCGCGACCTCGTCCTCCGTAGGCGAAGTTGGTGGTGCATAGAAGGCTAGGTATGTATGTAAATGAGCGCGAAGAGCTGCGCATTGCGGCTCCGGTAAGCAGCCGGTGGAAGGGAGAGGAAGCCATGCAAAATCCTCGGGCGTCAACGGGTCCAAGTCCTCAATGTTGAACACGCGCGCCGAATCCCGTTAAGGTCCACTTGAAGACGAATCAATGTTGCTGCTTCCGATCGGAGAATAGACCGCACATACATCCTGTCCTTGGGCTCATGAATCCAGCGAAGGTACGAGCCGGGCAGCATAGTCCTCGAAAGAATGAAGAATTGGAGGACTTACAACGTCCGCATGTGTGCCCCGGAACCGAGGGAGGTTACCCGAACGGCAACCGGTTCCGTAGGCGTCGAGAGTGTCGTCGCAACACTCTCGGCGGAGCTCACTTTCCCGATTGAGCGGGGCCCTTGGCTTTCGTGGGGCAGTTCGCGGTCTCATGGGCCGCGCAATTGCACCACAAACAATAACGGTACTTGGTGCGGACGCGATACCCGCGCTCCGTCAGACCGTACGCTGTCCAAGGTCCTTGAGCTGGAGCTTCTTCCCCAGGCGCAGAAGAAGTATTGGTGTTGGTCTTTGGCTTGCCTCGTCCTCGTCCTTTGGCGGGGCGGCCACCATTCTGGGCAGCTGCGAGTCTATCTCCCTCGTCAGACGAAGCAGCCTCGTTTGAACTAGAAGGGTCGCTAGTCGTTGTCGCTGCGACCACAACCACTTTCGACCGATGCTGATGCGCGCCCTGGCCGGCATTTGACGAATGGCCCGTATTTCGGGCTACCAAATTCGTCACTATGATCTGCGCGGCCTTGTTGAAGAGTTCCTCGCTTGTAGTGAGGGTGTCCGTGACATAAGTCAACGCATTCTGCAACGCCGGGCACGACATCTTGATGAAATAGAGCTTCATGTCGTCGAAATTCAGCGGCAGCTTGGGCGTGCTTGCGAGGCGTTGGAACTCAGATATCCAATCGCCGCTTGGCATGTTGTGTTGCATGAACGTCAACAACTTGTCCATCGCCTGGTGTTCCGGCGGTTCCACTTGGAAATGCTTCTTCCATGCCGCCCTCAGATCTGCCCAGGTGATGTACTTGTGTAATTTTGTGGCTGTACATGCATGTGCGGACAACATATTGTCCAGCCATGATTGACACGCGCCTCCCGAGCGGGACTACAAATAGGCGTGCCGGTTCTCGTTGGCGACGTGGTGGAGGTCCAACTTGAGGACGAACTGGCGCCACCATTGTATGGGGTCCGTCTTCGATGCGTCACAGAAGATCGGGAGCCCGTCAAACTTGACAATGGTCTCGCGTGGTGTCGTGGTGGAGCTGGCTGCGGCGCAGACGTGCTGTTGCGCCCCGGCCTTGAGTGTCCCCACGTCTATCTCCAAGACGTTGACGCGGTCGGCGAGGTCGGAGGGGCCGGCGCTGGCATTGGTGTTAGCGACCTGCTGCTCCAGCTGCTAAATGCGCTTGAGCATCTGGTCCGACGACTGTTGCAGCGCCTGGTTAGCGTGGTCGAGGGAGTAGATGTCCTCCTGCTGCGCGATGCAAGTCGCGAGGAGGTCCGTAACACGGTTGGGCAGTTGAGATACTCTGCTCCCGACGTCAACGGGATCGCCGTTCTCGGCCTCCCTCTGCCAATCCTTGGCCTGTGCGTGAAGTGCATTCTCCTCCTTGAATATGGTCTCGCGTCGCCGTACGCGTTCTTTATCATCGGCCTTGGCTGCTGCTGCCGCATGCTTCTGCTGCTGTACGTCAGCCAGAAGACGTAGTCTCTCTGCCTCTGCTTCTTTCTTCTTCCGTGCTGTTGCCGCTGCGTCTGCTTGCTGCTTGGTTTCAGGCATAATGGCCGCCAGCCGTGCCTCGTTGGCCTCGTCAGTCTCGCCTGCTTTCTGATCCATCCGCGCTGTCTGCGAGCGAGTAAGTATGTTAATGCGCTGCGGGTCCCTGACGTGGCCTGCTGAAGCAAGGACTTACCTGGTCTGCAACTGGCAGGGAATGGGCAGTGAAGAAGGACGGAGAAGGGATGAAGGGTTGGGGTGGAGAGAAGGGGAGTGGGCAATAGGATGGTCGCCCAGATATGGAGCCACTAAATTTTTTTTTGGGGAACCTGCAACGACTTTGAGAGAGGAGATTTTTTTTCGAATTTGCAAGTTCGATAGGCCCCCCAGATATCCCCTCAGCAGTTAGAGCCACAAATTTCGAATTTCAGACTGCCGAATGCATCAAAATGTCAAATGGAGATACAGGACTGCGAAAACAGAGAAAAAATATCGGTTCCCGCAAGTCCAAATTTTTTTTTCTTCCGAAAACAGAAAAAAAAAATTCGGAATGTCGTAGGTGAGAGCATGTGCCGTTTAAAAACGAACGCTTGCAAGAGGAGTTCCCGAAAAAAAATAAAACGAATTTCAGAAAAAAAATTCGGAATTTTCGGAAATGGAGAAACGAATTTTCAGAAAATTGTCGAAATTGAAAAACGAATTTCAGAAAAATGATTTTCGAAAATATTTCGGGGTTTCGGAATAACGGGAATAATCAAAGTTTTGAAAAAAAAAAAAAATTCGGGATCTCCCAGCCACGAAACTTCGAATAATAAAAAAAATAAAAAATAAAAAAAATCGCGAAATAAATAATGGGAAATCGCAGTATTTCGGATCTCCAGCAACGAAGTTTCGGGTTTCAAAAAGAAAAACGAACTTCCAGATGGTCCGCTATTGTTACCAAAAAAATAGCGGGAAAACAAAATCCAAAAGGGAGACAAAATTTGGATTTTGGCAGTTAGGTCAGAATCTGCGATTTTGGGGACTAATTAGTGTGCCCTAATCAATCAATCAATCAATCAATCAGGGTGAATCAATCAATCAATCAATTAACCCTGGGTCAATCGATCGATCAATCTCAACTTACCCAATCGATCTTGGGTTGTCCCGCGCTCGTGTCAGATCAGGTTCGTCCTGATTCACACGCAACGCTCCGATACCAAAACTGACGCATGCTCAGGGGAGCAATGCGCAGGGAGCCAAGAATCCGCTATGTGATAAAAAGGACTGAAATGGATAATGCAATGTCAGCGTAGCATCAACAAGCAATGTACATTCCGAATACATACGAGATGGCACAAAGTGGCGCAGCGGAAAACTCAAAGAGAAGATCTGATCTGATCTGGACTGACACGGCATCCATCACACATCACACAGGTGAGAGAGGGAGGAGGGACCGCACACATGGAAGAAAGGTCCCTCCTGCGCACACACACATGGGGAGATACCACGGATGAGAGATGGGGGGAGGGACGAGACGAGGAGGAAGGAGGCGAGGGAGTAGACCAAGATCGCAATAGCGAAGTCCAAAAAAAATAGTCCCTTGCCGAGTGTCCAATCAGTGTCTGTCCCAGAAATGTCGAATCAGATCCTGGGCGATGCGCCCAGCATAACCTCTGCCTGAATCCCTACTGATAACCTCTCACACTCTCAGATTCGAAGAAGAAGAGATAAGAAGGAGGAAGGAGGGAGAAGAGAGAGAGAGAGAGAGAGAGAGAGAGAGAGAGAGAGAGAGAGAGAGAGAGAGAGAGAGAGAGAGAGAGAGAGAGGAGGGAGAGAAAAAGATGTAGCCCTCCTCACTATCT